TTCTTTTAAATGTATAAAACTTGTTATCCCAGCTGTTAGAGAAGAGATGAGAAGAAGCAACATTAGATTAGTGGATGATTAAATTTGATTGAATTTGATGGCAGGAAATTGTCCATCCATCCATCCATCCATCTTTGCACTGATCCAGGGGAACACAGAGGAGTTTCCAGGCCAGTCAGGGGATATATGTATCCCCCCAGCATGTCTTGGGTGTGGCCTCACCTAGGAGGCATCCTAGTCAGATACCTGAATCACCTCTGCTGGCTGATTTCAATGTGGAGCAAGAGCGGCTCTACTCCAAGTCCCTCCCAATAGGGCTGGGCCATATCATACCGTTCACGGTAATACCGGTATAATTTTGGGCAACGATAGAAAAATGAAATATCTCGATAGAATATGGGTAAAATGCGCATGCAAAGTGCCTTTGTTTTCATACGCACACGTCGGAAAAAGCATGGCGGCGAAAGCAAATCGTTGAATGATACGGATGAACCAGAATTGGTTTGTAAAAATGCTGCAACTTCAATGGTGTGGAACTGGTTTAGCTTTTGTCTGTCAGATACACAACAAAGCACTATTTTTGGTAGAGCATGCTTTTTTGGAAAATACAGCACACTTAAAATCAATCCTTTGACTTTTCTGAAAATCGACAGTGCCCCTTATAATCTAATGGGCCTTATGTATGAATTCTGGTTGTGTTTACTGACCTCGAAACGATTTTATGTACACGGCGCTCGAAAATCTGTCAAATGTTTTAGTACGACTTTGCTAAGCTACGAACCAGCACTGCTTGATGGATTGTCGGAGCATTACGGCTATCGTAGGCAGGAGCCTGGCGGAGTGATACGTACTGTGCTTCAACATAATATTACCGTATTGTGTGTGTAATACCTCTTTTTAAGTTTTGTGGATATTCTACATGGTTATGCTGAGGATATGTCGGCCAATTTCCACTGGAAATGCCTTTCGGTTAAACTGTCAGCAAGGAATTTGCATTTGCACTGTTAAAAAAACAGCTGCTTGTTTAAGTGAAAATAAGTGAAAATACATTGATGTTTTGTTTTGTTTTTTTCCACTAATAAAGTTGTGGAGTTGTAAAGTATTTTGTCTAGTGTCAATTACATCGTCAGTTATATCGTTATCGCAAATTTTCAAATGTATATCGTGATAAATATTTTTGGTCGTATCGCCCTGCTCTACCTCCCAAATGACTGAACTCCTCACCCTATAGCTAAAGGAGAGGTCAGCCACCCTTTGGAGAAAGCTCATTTCCACCGCTCAGCACTTGAGGACAACTTCATAGTAAAGAGGTTGAAGCCCCCAAATCTGTTCAGAATTCATCCTGCCGTCATGTAAAAGACCCCAAACATTCAGCCAGAGTCGTGTATTCAGCAGTAATAAGAAACAGGAGTCCTCGTAGGCCAGCACGGCTGTAATGATATCTCGAGGGCAGCAATAGGAATTCACTACCACATGCGGTCTTGTTGATTCAATCCATATGCTCATTAATTATGATTTGAGTCCAGAGTTCTCTCTGTTTGAACAGATCTCAGCAACACTGTGAAGACTGTTTAAGCCCTTCACTTTTCTTTTTATTTACTGTGGTACCGTTAAATCAAAGTAAAGAGAAACAGACCGTCAGCTGAATTGGTAAACTGTAAAAGAGCTGAAATCTCTGGCTCGTCTTGAGTCCACATTCCAGTTTTATGCAGTTTTTTCTTGACTTTATGTAATTGTGAGAGCCAACGGCCAATCAAATTGTCACTGTGATGACATAATAAAATCTATAATTGTGCAGTTTTAGCACATTTAACCAAATAAGTGTCATCACATCAATAAGAGCCTACACATGGTTCTGTTTGGGCTCTTGAGGAACCACAGCAGTGGAAACGGACTGAATCAGGAGATGTGCAATTCCGGGAAGGACAGGGCACAAAAGAGTATAAGTAGCAAATAAAATCTAAAAACTAAAAAACAAAAAACAAAACCCTTTTGCAAGAATTTTATGAATAGACCTCTCAGCTGAAGGCCTCAAGTAGATGCTGAGTATATTGCAGTTTGCTGACAGTACTGATTTACTGATAACTGTGTAATGAAAAACTCAGTGCTTAGACTGTGCTTCTGAAGTTCAAGGTACAATATAATAGGATAAATTATAAATATAGACTATAGAGAACTAAAAACCTACTAATATAGTTTATTGATCCTCATGAGGAAATCTGAAAGAGGTCAGAGGTTCAAATATCTGCTCGATTTATCAAGATATCATATATTTCCAAACGCGCTCCGACGTTTTCGGAGACGTCTGTGACCCGCCAGCTCCATAGCAGACAGCAAGGTCGAGGATTATTAGAGCCGGCGAGAACAGCGGACTCCCGGCACATCGTTTTTTGTATTGGGTGTCCACTAAAATAAAAATAAAAGCGTTCTAACATCTCACCTGCTTGTTTTTATTAAGGTATGTACACGTATGTACATGTACACTATTTTTATTAATAGAGATTTCACTACTGAGGTTAAACATGATATATAAGTCACTTAGATCACTTCTAAATGTTAATGTTTGGTTTATTTCAGTGTTTTATTTGTTCCTGAGTAAACCGGTTTGGCTGTGATTAAAGTTAAGCTTCATAACATATTACTCGCAGTTAAATTAAGAGGGGATGGCAGTAAAAACTCTGGACCTGTGACATCATCAAGTACGCTGGTGTTCCAATTGTACAAATCGCAAGTCCCTACTCGCGTTCTCGGCGAGTCTGTACTCCCGTGTGCCGAGAACGCGAGTACGTACTCGCGTACTTGAGAATTGACAAAGGGCCATTGTTTTATACTGTGCTGCTGATGAGCCACACATTGCTAATAACGTGCCAGGGGTGTATTCTGTATTTCCCAACATGCAATTTAGCCAAGTAACATTTTTCCATATTAGAAACTATTATACTATATGCTATATATACTATTATAAAAACCTTTACCAACACCACATATAAATGTTGCATTTCTATTAAAACAACATAACCCTGAAATCCTTATTAAAACACCCCCCAAAAAAACCCAGAAGCAATTCAGCGTACCCAATTCATCCCTGTTTTCTTCTAACCCTCTAACCCTCATTCAAACCTCCCGGGGACACATTTGCCCAAACACCCTAGAGAGGACAAAGTAGAAAACAAGTTAGTGCTTCACCACAAATCCACAAAAAAAACACACAAATACCTTTTGTAATCAGTTATATTTGTGGCTAATATTGTCTCTTTAGCTTACAGCCACCATGTCCACCGCACACAGAGTAGCTGCTCAAGTGCCTGCCAGACAGAATCACACCAATCAATAAAAAAGCATGAAATATTTATTGTTATTTATATAGTGCTTTTCTACTCTAAGCACTGGCCAGACGCGGGATTAGCAGGAACTGTGGATCCTGCATTGTGCTTGTTGCACTGGACTTTGAACCCAGTGCAGCCTTTCCACTCCCTGCACCAGCGCAGCTGCTGCATTAAAAACATAGCAGGAGGTTAAATCAGGTCTTCCCAGCCGAGGCAGCAATATCCTGTGATGAACCCTTTGCCTCCGTTGCCACCTCATGCAGTGACAGAGCTGCAGGCTGTCTGCTTCTGCCAGTCTCTGCCTCCTCTTTCCATTCCACTCCCCTTCATTTTTTCCCCCCTGTGTATTTCTTGGAGCTTTGATGCCACCTCCTCCATCTTGTGGCATGTGTCTCATCTCTGTAAATCCCTCGTGCACAATCCCTTCACTTCTTTCCGTCTGTCTACCTTTAATCCATCTCTTCTCTTTTCGCACAAGATGCTCCGCATCCTCTCGGATGTCTATACCGTTCATCACGTTATAGCCGGCCTGTCTGCATTTATCTTGGCCTCAGTAGAGTGAATTAACTCCCATCTGTCCTGACTGATGGATGCATTAATGGAATGAAAACTGAATTTGCTTAGTACTGCACTCTCTTTAACCCAGACACCCCGATTCGCCGTTTTATCAATGGAGCTGTCAGTGACATAATTCTGCGACTGTGTTATGGGGCTTTTAGTAGATATTATAGACTCAGCAGGGGGTGAAGTCTAATCATTTCAGCCCTGCTTTTCTGTAGCTGAATGTTTTAGGGAGGGCTTGATAACGCTCTGCTCCTTTGTTTTTTTTTTATATTACAGAGAATAATAAGCTGTGCATCGTTCAGGGACGCCAGCATGATCTCATGCTCGTCTAACATTGGGTTTTTTTGTGTATTGGAAACAATAGCACAGAATGTGAATTCCCACCTGGCAGCTATAGCGATTGTCTGTTTTATCAATGGCTACAAATCTGTAAAAGAGTATTTTTATTCTTTTTATTGATAGCTTTTATTGCCAAATTTTAACAAAAACTTTTTTTTCATGGTATTTGTTCAGCAAACAATAGCAGAGAGAAAAAGTTAAGCTCAGTTAAACACACTGGAGTTGGTAGAGACCAAAAGCGGTGAAAAAAATTTATTCTTGATTTAAATATAATATTTTAATTTTCTTACATTTTGTTCTTACAGTATGACAAAGATTTACCAAATAGACCTAAAATAAATGAAAAAACCTCGCAGGAGAGTGTTTACAGAGGTCAGGAGAGAAAGCCAGCGTTCCTTTAGACGTCTACTGAACTGGAAGTCTTTTTTTCCACAACTATCGCCACCTAGAGATCTTCGGATAGATTTAAGAGACTTGCCTTCATTGTTCCAACCTTCAAGCTACGTCCTTGTTTCATGCAGTCTGTGGTTTCGGTGATGTTTACTTGGATGTCTTCCTGTTGTGTAAACAGGCAGCTGTTTGTTATCTATTCACTTTCCATAATAACTTTATAGTTTGACAGTATATTCATGTTGTGTTTACAGCTTTTTCTTCTGTTCCAAGTGTCAAAAAAACTTAGTTATTGTCGTGGTAAATTGTGTAGAACGATAAATTAATATTAGCTGTTGCGTTACATTAAGTCCCGTATGTGTTTCTGTTTGCCCCCTGCAGGTCAGTCAAGGTAATGTTCCAGGTGTGGAAAGTGCCTCTTTGGCCATGGACACGGAGGAAGGAGTGGAGGTGGTGTGGAATGAAGTACTCTTCTTAGACAAGAAAGTCTTTAAAGCACAAGAGGTACCCAAACTCATATAAACCTTTAACTACGAGATCTGCAAATTAAATTCTGGTTCTATTTATTGATTTGTCAACTAAAAAGCCTGGATGAAGCTGGAAGATTTACTGTTATATATAGACACCGGTCATATATCTTTAAGCTCTTACCTTCCTTTTATCACTGCTTGCGGGTTTTTTTTCCTCACGTTGATGTTGCAAGACTGACGTTGAACTCATGGCAGTGGACCTTTTGGCTTTTTTTCTACAGTTTTTTGCTGTTTCTTAGGGGGTCAACACTTAAACAGCTGGACTGGTGCTGACAAAGCTGTGTAGGCCTTTTTTTCCATTCAGAAAACTGATCAAGGGAATTGATAAAGTCATATTTATCCTCACAAGAGACCTATTCCAACAGATAAACACCAGCAAATATAAAAATTGCTGAACTTTAAACCACTCGGGTGATTTTCGTTATTACTGCTTACAAACCACTTGAATTATAAATTGTTAAAGTGTCCCTGATTGATTTTCTAATAGTGTGATAGACTAACGTTTTTAGATGCGAACCATCTCTGATGTGTGATGTTTAGGAGAAGATCAAGGAGATGTTTGAGAACCTGATGCAGGTCGAACACCCCAACATTGTCAAGTTCCACAAGTACTGGCTGGACATGAAGGAGAGCCAGGCTCGAGTAAGGTTTTCAACTTGCTTCCTCTTTTTCACGCACACAAACGCTGGTGCATGAACAGGTTTTCTCTCCTCTGTCTGTGGCACACAGGTTATATTCATCACTGAATACATGTCGTCAGGCAGCCTCAAGCAGTTCCTGAAGAAAACCAAGAAAAACCACAAGACTATGAATGTGAAGGTCAGTGTTTTACTCTGGTCACATACTGAGTCTCACGGTGGCAGCTCAGGGTACTGCAGTCCCATCGCTATTCAGATCCATTTTTCCAGCAGGATTAGAGATTACGTAACACGACACCGCTCAGTCTGCTCAGACATGCATCTTATCCTAACCTGGTGGATTTCAAATATTCATGAGGTTTATTCACAATATCTTCCTTCTTTAAAATAAATTGTAGATAAAGTTAATGTTATTTAACTTTAATTAGCTTTTGGTATTTTCATGCACATATCAAATTAGTGCATTTTATGACAGTGCATATGTTTCCATATTACTCGTGTCTGTTAGTTTAGAGGTGTAGCTCTTCATCTTTCTCTGTTCCCCTTCGTTTCAGGCCTGGAAGAGATGGTGCACACAGATTCTCTCTGCGCTTAGGTACTGACTTATTTGTTCTGTGTGATGTAATCGTGTCTGTTATCTCAGTGTGAGCATTAATAACATGCTTTATTGTTTGCTGGCAGTTATCTGCACTCTTGCGATCCACCGATAATCCATGGAAACCTGACTTGTGACACCATCTTCATCCAGCACAACGGCCTCATCAAGATTGGCTCAGGTCTGCTCCCAGCAGGGACTTTAATGTTACTGCAAGTAGTCGATCAGCTGGTTTTCTTTTTTTGTACAATAACTTTATTATGACTAATGAAGCCTCTAAAGTGAATTTTCCTCCTTAATATTCGTGCTATTTTTTTCCAGCTAAACCCTCATAACTTCTAAAGCACAGAAGATATGAACATTTGATTTTTAGGACTGAAAAACACCAAACTTTGAGGTTTAGTGTCATGCAGGGCTGTAACCAGGTCGAATCTTTCCCACATTTTAATACCAGATTCTTCTTAACTATAACTTTCTTCTGTGTCAAAACCATTTCCAGCGTAAGTACATTTTAATACTTGTGGTACAGCTCATGGCTTTGAAATCTCCTCGATCTCCACGTGTTCTTTAAGTTAGATTGGTCATACCACAATAATCAAACAACTTTAGGTACAGAAAAGGTTTTTCAAGGTCCTTACAGGGTCTGAATCAGCGAGTTTCAGTGGATAATCAGGAGGGCACTGCTCTAAACACAAGTCACAGCAGTTATTCCTGTATTATGTTTTAGCATAGTCAGTCAAAGGGACACATACACCTTATCTTACACTAAATAACAGTACAGTAAAGTACAAAATCAATTAAAATTTTATTTTCATGGCATTAAGCAGAATGAATATCTAAATTGTATTAACTCTCCTCCCACAGTGTGGCATCGGCTATTTGTTAATGGTAAGGGACCTTTTTTGTTTAGTGGTTTAATATCAATTCATTAGTTTTATCTAATATTTAATATCTAATATATTTGTGCTCTGCCTTCTCTTGCCAGTTTTCCCAGATGCAAGTGTTCACAGCAAAGCGAGGCAACATCGCGACGAGCAGAGAAATCTTCATTTCTTTGCTCCAGAATACGGAGGTAAGTGGCATTTCCATCCAGCTTTCTGTGACGTTGCTTTTATTTAATCGGTCTACATTGATTCCTACCTGACTGTTTGACCTGCAGAGTAAAAATTCAGTCTTTATGTTCACAGTTTAATGTAGCTCCAGACCTCAGTTACTACACATGAAGATATTTGCACGTTGTATGAAATGGGAACCGCTGAGAAAAAGACTAGTTGTCAGTAATCTGTATGCCAGAAGCACCAAACGGGGCCTTCTATCAGATAGTTCTGGGTATTTTGTGACCTGTTGTCTGTAATTATTGTAGATAATGAGGTAAACATTGGAATTAGTACTGCCAAAGTGAAATGGATGAGACACAAATTACTTCAAGACATTTAGTAGATTGTTTGTACCTATTTTGCAGCTGCCAAAAAGACAAAAGGATAGATTAATCCCTTTGTAATGAGGATAAACTGTTTACCTTCTTCCCCTTTTCAAATTGATTTTTTTTTTTTTGATTGCACATTGCTACCTTTTTAATTTGGGGTAAGCTTTTTCGTTAAGTTTTCCTATTTTTACCCTCCTCTCACCCTGCTTCTCTTCAATCGTTTCCAGCTGGCGAAGATGGTTACGCCATAGACATTTTCTCCTTTGGAATCTGTGCTCTGGAGGTAAAAGAGAAGTAAATCTGCTGGATTTCCATCTTTCTGTGTGTGTGGCTGTTTTTCTTGACAGATTATTTGTACCCTTATAGATGGCTGTGCTGGAGATCCAGGCCAATGGAGATAGTGCTGTGTCCAAGGAGGCCATAGTCAATGCAGGTCAATCTCTGGAAGACCCTCTCATGAGAGTAAGTCTCAAAAATACTTTATGCCCTGAAATGCAAGAACAGCTGCAGAAACATGTAGAAAAGACAAACTGTCCTGCACTACTCTAGCAACGCTTACTCACACTGCCGTCCCTCTAGGCTTATTCAGACCGCACAGCAGGGCTCCGTCAGTTAAATATGCCAGAAAGAACAAAGTGATGCTCAGGAAACTGGGTCACACTTTACAGTTGCATGGTTATGTGTTGGATTTACTTCCTTATTGCTCCTGCAGGAGTTCACCCAGTCTTGTTTGCATCACGACTCCAAGCTCCGTCCTACAGCTCACGACCTCTTGTTCCACCGAGTCTTGTTCGAGGTCCACTCGCTCAAACTGCTCGCCGCCCATTGCCTCATCAACAACCAGTGTGAGTTTCTCTCTTATGTGCACTGCAGCTACTTGTGTGCATCAGATTTCTTTAGTAACGGCCACACTTGTGATGCATCTACAGACTTGCTTCCAGAGAACTGTGTGGAGGAGAAAACCAAGTCATTTGACCCCAATGCTGTCATGGCAGAGATTAAACATGAAGACAGACAGGGAGTTCAGCTCAAGTAAAATCTTATACCCACCTCGAATCTTCCGCTGTCTGCCAGAAAGCATGACAAGTCAAGATCATTGCTCTCTGTTCTCTTTTGTGTCCCCTCTGCAGGTATTCCCACGTGTCCCCATTGGAACTTGACAAGTTTCTAGAGGATGTCAAGTAAGTGTTACTGCAGTGCTTTACTTTCTCAGTTTACTTTCTCAAGTTTAACATCTTGGCCTTTTCTCTCTTCAGGAATGGAATCTACCCATTGATGAATTTTGCCTCAACGCGGCCTCACCCCGTCCCCCGAGCGCTCTCCTTGTCTCAGGAGCAGGTTGAAACGGTCAAGACGCCGACTCCTGAACCCCAGGAGACGGAGACAAGGAAGGTCGGCACCTTAGATTGAACAACAGTAGTGTTAAATGCACAGACTTGCTGGTTACATCTCTAGAGAATGACTCTGTGTTTACAGTAGACTTTCAGCAGTATGTCTGGGATGTTGCAACACGTGAGATATTTACACATGGAAATCTCCTCATATTTGTTGTTGCCCGCATCTGATTTCAGTGAGACCGTCTCTATGCAGTCAGCTTTGAAGGGGAACAAATTTTGGACTGAGAGGTCTCACTGTGAATCAGAGCTGACTGCTTGCATTTAAATCCAATACTAGGAATGCATCAGGAGCAACTTTTTAAATTAACCAAATTAAGCAACAGGGCAGTGTTAGACATTGCGCTTATGTGAACAGCAGCTCAGACCTGCAAAACACTGTCACATCACAGTGTGACAGTATCACCTTGTGTGTCTTTGATTAAGATTACTTTTCATTATTTCAGAGCACAGCATATGAGCATGAGCCTATCTGAATATCAATGATAAATGTCTAGTTTATTATGTTTTAGGTTATTACCTTAGATGGTGTCCCTGCTTAGCATCACGTGTATCAGTGCCAGATATGTTGGGAAAGTGTTAGCAAAAGTTGGATTACAAAAGCTTTCTGCTGCCCTTTAAGTTGTTGTGTGTGTCACTTGTGTAGGATAAGCACATGCACGTGTCTATGCATGTCTCTCTATTATTGTAATAATAACTATTTATTATCACTCCAAACACTTTAAATATTTAATACTTTGCTTTGCCTTCATGTTTCAGTGCTTCTTACTCTGTTGTCATTGCAGGTAGTTCAGATGCACTGTAATTTGGAGTCAAATGAAGAAGGGACCAAAACTCATGTGAGTCACATAGTGTTACAGGTACTTTGCCCATTTCAGTGTAAAAACCTGGGCTCCTTAAAGATGAATCCTTCTGCAGCGTTGCTTTAGCAGCTCTGCATTTCAGTCAGTCAGAATGAATACATATGAATTCAGTCTGACTTTAATTGAGCCTTTTGGTGTCTCCTTAGCTCTCTTTGTTTCTGAAGATGGATGATAAACTTCACAGGCAGCTCAGCTGCGACATCCTTCCAAGTAAGTTGACATTTCTGAAATATCACAACAATGTGAGTGTTCCTAGATCATCATCCAGATTGATTCAAGCCCAAACTTCACATCTGGTTGCAGTTTTCATGCAAATTTGTCCATTACTTTCAGAGTGATCCAACTAACAAACATAAACAAATGTAATAGCCAGATCAACTTCATAACTCACTCTAATGAATTTCCATGTGAGGCAGTGAATCAGTTTGACATATTTATTTATGTTTTATTTTTGTTTTTTTTGTTTGTTTTAACCCATCAGACATAAATTGCTGATGGATTATTGTCATGATTTGTGAATACGATAACTTAAGAACAAGGCGACGTGGGACTTTTAAATTGATACTATAAGTCCATTTAAAGCACTTGTTTGTATAGATTGATCTGGATAACCGTTTTGTCTTTTTATTTGAAAAAAGACACCTGTTGTTTTATTTTTCTTGTATATTTTTCTAACTGAATTATTTTGTATGAAACTTTCAGCTGACACCTCCAAAGACCTCGCCAGTGAACTTGTTCACTACGCCTTCATAAATGAGGTAGACGGAAAAGCTTCTTTGTTTTTACATTTTAATGATCTGGGAACAAGTACAGCAGTAATTTATTCTTTTTTTCTTTTCTTTTATCTTTTGTTTTTTGAAGAGTTTTAACACTTTTTTTCCCAAATAAACTTTGACCGCATCTTGGTGGCTTTGTAGGAGGACAGTGAGAAGGTGGCGGGGTTCCTGGAGAATGCCATCAAACAACACCGGGTCCGAGCACTCGCTTCTGGGAGCACGCAATGAGGAGGGGTCCCGACAGGCTCTGGCCCAGATGGAGGGTCCCGGGGCATTGATCACTCAGATGGAGAGAGAGCAAGAGAGGGCAGCGGGTAGGACGAGACAGCCGTGGACCTGAGGAAGCACAGGGAGCTGACCCAATGGGGAATAAAAAAAAAGGGACAAACACAGATGGATGCTGCACCTTGACAGACAGTAAATCATCTCAGTGAGAAGGCGCCTCTGGCTGGAGGACCAGAGGAATCACGGCTGCGTCCAGCAACCCCACAGAGCAGAGGAAGATTGACAAACTCCCTGCCTAAAAGGGCTATCATGCCTTAAGATATCTTACAATCTTAGGTTTTCCATAATGCCACTATCCAGAGCAGATATGTTATACTCACAGATGCAGCAACTACATACTACTACATACAAACAGACATTTTGTTCCTCAAAGCCTCATTTGCACACTTTTATTGCTGATTAAACCTCCCTCTCCCTCACAAGCCAGAACCTTCAGTTCACAAGAGTTTTAGGGAATTTAAGATTCCGTCTTATGTGCACTGTTGATACCCATTCAGCTGACTTTTTTTTTCTTCTGTTTAACTGTGAACAGGACATGCATTGCACAAATGTTTATTTTTCTTTGTTCTACACCTTCAAAGTGACACACCTCACTGCACTCTCCGACTGAATGCTATCTCCACACAGCTAAACATGCTACGCCTGAATGAGGTGATAAGTAATGAGATGATGCCTCTCTGTTTTAGCCTGTAGTGCTCTTACAGGTTTTCCACCGTGAAAGCCAAAGACTTGCAAAGTGCCTGTTATGGCAGTGAAATGGCATCACCCACAACTTAGCAATTAACACGTTCAGGTTGACTTTAGTCTTAAAACAAGATCAACTTTGCAATTCTTTATTATTAGTCCACAAATTCAGCCTGTGTGGAAGTGAAGAGGAAGTCGAGGCTGAGTAATGGAAGCTTGATTAAGAGCTGCAGCCTTTTTTATTGGACTTATGGATAAGATGGTTATGGTCTCTGCTGCCGTCAATATTAGTAGCCTGTGTACAAAAATTGGAATAAATCTACGTGTGATTTGAAAGCGTAGTCTTACTTAAACAGGAGCAAAGCTGTGACTATCTGATGTTAAAATTAATTATTAAAAAATTGCCATTTTGTTTATTAATATTCCTGCTATAGTTACTATTATTGTATTTCCCAAACCATTTGAAAATATTAGTACATGAATTTTGTTTTGTAAATATTTCCGTAGATCTTTCAAAGGTGAAATCCACCCAAATCATTAGAATTTGTTTTTCCTGTGAGGTTTTCATGGACTCCAGATGTTACAGCAGGTGATGAGAAACTGAATTATTTTCCTTTGCATGTTTTTATTTCCCAGAACCCCATCTACTCTAGTTTTATTTCACACAGTTCTGGTGTGAAATGTGAAAACGATGGCACTGCAACCCACACAAAGACAAAAATAGAGCTGGCTGTGCATCAGTGCCTGATTTTTTTTTATTTTTTTTATCAAGAACCTGGTCTCTGAAACATAAAAAGCTGCCATTTGGGTGGATTACTCCTTAATAAAACTGTAGTAAAAAACAGTAGTGATCATCAGCAAAATACTGTTGTCACGTTTTACATAGCTCTGCGTCATTTGTTTTATGGGTTTGTGAGGTTGCAGTTTCATAACAGTTACACTGCTGTACAGTCATTGCCTACAATACTTACTATACTCTGTGTCGAGCCTACTTATCAGTATGTCTCTGAAGACAGGAGCCCTGAAGCCTCCCAGACAGTCACCTGCTACAGGCTGTGGTGTACATATTTGTTTGTGGCTATCAAAAGAGGCGTATGTTGGACAACACAAAGCAGTGCCACTATTGCTCTTGTTTGATCCTAGTAAGCTGCATGTCTTAAAAGCCTGCAACCGTCCAGAACTGCATTTTGCCTTTGTCAGTCACAGTTCAGTTCCAGAGAGGACCTGACCATGAAAATGAATGTTTAGACTGTGCAAACATGGAAAAAAAACAAACCCTTCCATATCAGTCTTATTTTACGTCAAATGACTTCTTCTTTTTTTATTTCTGTGACTCTGTTGAATAAAACTTGCCTTCGGATGTGTTCTACTTAAACCTTTGGTAAATATTGTAGCTACTGCAATTAAATACATGACAATAAACAAGATGTAATATGCTGCGTGTGTTTTGATGTTTCCATGCATGCATTACCAAAAAATTATTTAAATAAGAAACGAGGAATGGTGAATTTAATTTAGTATTTATGTAGTGTCTTGGGTTGACATGACACGTTAAGACAGAGTACAAAACATTTTATATGCATAATATCAGGATGCAATATGATTTATTAAGAATAACAGATTTGTGGTAGTGACGTTTTTAACATTGTTGCTAAATTCAATCATGTTACTCTAATTTTAACTCATTCAGTATATAATTTTTGACTAAAGTAATTACAAATGTTTTTAGCTGTTAGGTTGCAAGGGTTTTATCTGTTGTCTGTTTAATAGTTAAAGTTTTTATATGAATAGTGAGCAAAGATTAGAAAATAAATGCTGAAATTCAGTGACCCAAATGACTCAAAAAATCGATTCACTTTGGTGAGTGACTCATTAAAACTCGATTCAGTAAAAAGAATCAAATTTACCATCACTAAGCTACACTGATCTACGGATATATCCCTAGTGAAACCTAAAGGCAGGGCGAGTTTAGCAAAATCAAAGCACCCCCAAAGATTTCTTACTTTTTTTGACAATATTTGCTGTTTGTGTGACACACTACTAAAAATATAAAAAGTGTTATTGATGACTTATTTATGACGACGTTTTTGACGTGAAAACGCCTATTGCTCGTGTTCACACCGAACGCGATAGAGGCAGGCAGAGCGTCAGGCTTACATGTAAAGTCAATGGAAAGGCGCGCTGACCCGCGATTGCGGCTCCCGCGAAAATTCGGAAGCAGATTTGCGTCGCGAAAACGTCAAAACATAATAACGCCTGAAACGCGCGTGAGTGTAGCGCGTTTCAGGCGTTTGACTCGCGAAAAAAAAACACGCGCGTGAGTTTATGTGTTGCATTTTGTGCATACACGCGTTTCGCGTCCCCGGCTCGAGTTGGAAAAATCTGAACTCCAGCGTCAAATCGCGCCGCGACAACCAATCAGGAGCCTGGTGACGTGGCTGTTACCTAGTTCAAAGGGGCAGATCCAGCCAAAGCCCTTTATTCTTCAATAGAAGGAAGGCTAATCAATGCCGTAGCAAACAACTCGGAGCTGTACGACACCAGCTGCTTTCTGTACCGAGACAGGAATATAAAGGACCGAGCTTGGAGGAAGATATGTAAAGAGATCGGGCAACCTGGTAAGTTCATTCATTTTTCTCAAGTTTTCTCTAAAGTTTTCACTGACCCGGGGAAGCCGCACAAAAGCTAGCAAGCCACCGCTATTTTCCCACTGACATACAAATACCGTTCTGCTTTTAGGCATGTTGTCATTTAAGAATATATTTTATTGCCTCTTTTTTTCTTAATTTTCATTTTCATACCGGACAGCATTGCATTCTGCAGCCTGATTGACAAATCTGCTCCGTGCCGTGTCTCCTGCGCTTGCCAAATTTATCATGTTTGGTTTTGATAACCATCACGTCCAATAGAAAAAACAGCACAAAAACACCCATAACTATGAGCCTCATTCGGAAATAGACACCTGCACCGCGAGGGGAAAAGGCGCACGAAAGTGGCAGGCAGATGAAGACAAAACACGGCATAATAATACGTTTACGTTTTGCAATCTACAAAGGTTTGCACTTTGAGAATCAATTGTGAGAACTGTGACCAATGTTCATGTGTGTGTGTGGAAAACAGTGTATAAAGTGCGTGGCCAGGGGCTAGTTATTCTGAGAACCCCTGCTGCAATAAATGAGGGACCACTGTCTACTCTATGATTATTATATTCAACCTGTTAACATTTAATACTGTATTGATAGACCAACTGATTCTGAAGCAGAGCATCCCGTCCCCCCCAGTCCCTGAGCTCCTGCTGCTGCACCCACAGATATGTACAGCAAGCACTGATACCTTTTTAGTCGGTGGGATTGCCTGTGATGACCTTTACTAAATATCTACAACCAATCTGATTATATCCGGTTTTTAGTTTGTTTGTTTTTTTCAATGTTGAAATTAAAATCTAGTAGCAGCCTTCTCATTTCTTTGTGTTTTGTGCTGTTTTACAGGCCCACAGGGGAGGACGGCTCCGAGGCAGATGAGGGACGGGTCCCAGGACGGTCCATCGGTGGTGGAGCTGGAGCCACACCAGTCTCCAATGGAGCATTTCCTCCTCAGCCTGGTTCCTGCTCTGGAGAGCAGCTGGTCCTTTTTATTCCTGTCTCTCTGTAAATTCTTATATTTTATATATTTATGTTTAATGTATTTCTGTGTGAGAATTTTAATATTATTTCAAATAAATTTTTATAATGACTAATGTCTCAGTTCTACTACACAGCAAATGTTGGCACACGACTTGACACATGTAGAATTTATTTCATATTATACTAATGACAAAATATACTAATACAGTGGGATGCAGAAGTTTGGGCAACCTTGTTAATAGACATCATTTTCCTGTATAAATCGTTGGTTGTTACAATAAAAAATGTCAGTTAAATATCATACAGGAGACACACACAGTGATATTTGAGAAGTGAAAAGAAGTTTACTGGATTTACAAAAAGTGTGCAATAATTATTTAAACAAAATCAAGCAGGTGCATAAATTTGGGCACCACAAAAAAGAAATGAAATGAATATTCAGTGTATATCAATGTGTGTGTCTCCTATATGATATATGGGGTGCCTTTGTCTGGACGTGCTTCCCATCCAGAGCTGCACAGCACAGAGGGAAGTTCCAGCGCTCCTGGAATCCCTCTGTGATGGACCGCCAGTCTCCAGGTGAAGGCACAGCCATGAAGTCGTCCACTAGACAGTCCCAGATGGCCGTCGCTGCCTGGGGGTGATCTGACACACCGACTCTGTAACTGAACGCTTGGTGCTGAAGGAGTCCGCGGTGACAAGGAACCTGGACAAAATTGTTCAAAATCAGTATTATGTGTACTGCAGTTACAAAATACATTATTCAAATTCCAAAATACTTTGGTGATGTCAGATTTAACCACAAAACTTAAATCTTACATAAAACATTTTGTAATTATAAGGATAATTACAAAATGTATATTAGATAATATCTAAAACAGTTGTGTTTTGTTTTAACTTTAACATATCATAATTTGATTGGTAGCAACTTTCACAACTACAGTGAGCCAATCACTCATAATTCCTAAACATGTCAATCAGGTAGGAATGAAGTGAGACATTAATAGAAATAAAGAGTTGTGTGTTGACATGTAGCCCTTTCCTTGCTTAAATCATTAATATTTTTGAAAAATTAATCTGTGATAAGACAGCTTATCAAGATAGAACCATGTAACTAGAGATGAACCAAACTGTTCACAGTTTTATCTAACTCCGTTTTAATAAAGGCTGGTGACCCCTGTTATAGAGTCTGACAGCTGCAGGGATTATATACAAATATTCAACTATCCCAGAATTAAACCAGGTCTAAATAAAAAGGAGTGAGTATCACTACAAAGGTTAACTCAGTGGTCCTAATGCTACAGTTTGATATCAGCAAACACCGAGAGCATTCACTGTTAGCATAGCACATCCATGTTAGCAGTGTATAAATGGATGGTTTAGCATATATTAGCACAGGTATCAATAAAGGACTACGTATTAAACACTTTTACTAACCTCAGGCAGACGGACAGGCGCTCTGCAGGTGGGATTGAGCGCCTGTAGTCGGTGTCTAGGCGGGCGATTCTGGGACCGACGCGGGACAGCAGGTCCTCAAACTGGCCGAGTGAATGACGGTGATAGCGCTGGAATCGGCCGTCATCCAGGCGCAGCTCCTGGAGCAAGTGGTGAAACTCACCAAACTGCTCACGCCTCTGGAGGACCTGATGGACCCAGGTACGGCAAGGATGTGCTTTACGCCGCTACTCTGCTCTCCACAGTAAATAGAGAAGGGAGACTCTCTCTTCAAGCGCTAGCTCGACAGCTGCCATCTTGCAAAGATACCGGTCTTGCAAAACTTCCTCCCACATCCCACCCATATTTCCGGTTCACGCGCGTTAAAATATGATATTTTGGGGCGCGATGGATTTTTCTTGGACACGCGTAGAGGTGCGAATGTGCACGCGTCAAGTTAGGGGCGTTTGGGGCTTTTTTCACGCGCCCATCGCGTTCGGTGTGAACACACCCTTAACAAGCAGCGGTGCTGCCATAGGCACCTCACCCGTGCCAAAGTGCTCACAGGCGGAGGATAGTCCTCCCCCAGCTGCGAGGTACCCACGGCAGCACCCGCTGCTTTTTGAGAGTAAAAGCGATACCCGCTTTCACGTCAAAAAGTCGTCATAAATAAGTCTCCAATAACACCAGAAAAAGTCGCCAGATTTGTCGCTAGTCGCTTTTCAGAAAAAAAAGTCGCAAAGGGGGTCTGAAAACTCGCTAAATATAGCGACAAAGTCGCTAAGTTGACAACACTGCAGCAGACGTTCGCACCTATGCGTCCGAACTGCAAATGACTCGCGCATGAGCGAAGCCGCTGCTCCCGCACTGTCTGTAACCAGTCAGTTCTTCTTTTACTGTTATGCTGTTTTGTGGATCACAAGGTTTAAAACTACTTATAAACACACACCCACACACACAAAGTAACTACACCAGAGTGCCAATTTCGGGTCACTTTTGCCGGTCCAAGCCCGGATAAAGGAGCAGGGTTGGAATTGTGACATTATAAAACAATAATTGCTAAAACAAATTTAATTTGTACTTCTAAATAAATTCTAAATGCATTTAGGACATTTTTTACTCACTTTATGTCTCTTCCACGCTGTTATTTCTCTCTCCAACAACGTAGGTTACAATTACATTTGCATGTCCAATTATGCCAATTAGGCGATGACGTAATTTATCGACTTTTAGTACAACCAATGGCGATTTTCCTTACTGAGGAGTTGGCAACACTGCTTTAGCGCCCTTTCTGCCATGGTGGCTGAGACACAGCGGAGCGGAGGTGGAAGTGCCTGGCTTAAAACAGGACATATTAGCTGCATATAACCTTCAGTTACTCT